CAGGCTGGATTTGAACCCACCACCTTAGGTATATGTGGCTGGCGCCCTAGCCACTTGAGCCACAGGCGCAGAGCCTAGTAATCTTTTCTAGCTTTTAATAGTTATCCTTTTTCCCTCATTTTGTCACCATATACTTCCTAATTTGTTCTAGTCTATTTAACATCAGAATTTCCACCTTTTTTTCCCCTAAATTGACTGGCTCCTCTTCGTTTTCACAGAATCACTCAAAACTTGATAAGGAACAGGCTTCAGACTGCTGGGCATAGTGCTTAGGCCTTCCCTCACCTGCCTCAGCTGGGTTTTCTTGGCCCAAGTGCTTTCTCATTCTAGAGTACTAAGTCTTATTCCCTAAGAATACTCTGTGTTTTCCAAACCTTGCTTTTGTTCATCTTATAAACAGAGATGAAGGCTTATGCTTCTCTACTTGCAGTGTCCTGTCAGATTACTGCTCATCTTTTAAAGAAAGCTCCAGTGCCTCTCCTTCCAAAAAGCTGAACCAGTTTCTCTCAGTTGTAACGATTTACTCTGACTCTTCCTTTCCATTGCCCTTTACATCTTTATTTATTTATTTATTTATTTATATGCAGTTTTTTGCTGGGGCTGGGTTTTTAACCCGCCACCTCCAGTATATGGGGCCGACGCCCTACTCCTTCGAGTTACAGGTGCCGCCCTGCCCTTTACATCTTTATGATAGTATTATAGGACTTATTTCCTTCTGCCTTGCAGTCTTTGGTATTTCTGCCTACACTACTTTGCTTTAATCCTTTTGAAAGTATCATGTCATATTCTATATATTTTATACAGTGCTTTTGCCCATGCTCATAAATATTGAATAAATTGTATATATTTTTAGAATAAAGAAAGGAGAAATATTGTGTTAATTTTTCTTGTATATAATCGTACTTGGTGTCTTAGTCCTACTGTTTGTGTAATTTTATATGCATAGCTACAATTTTTTTTTAGCAGGGGATAGAGTCTCACTATGTTACCCTCAGTAGAGGCATCATAGATCACAGCAACCTCAAACTCTTGGGCTCAAGTGATTCTCTGGTTTCAGCCTCCCAAGTAGCTGGGACTACAGACACCCACTATAACACTTGGCTATTTTTTGGAGATGGGGTCTCATTCTTGCTCAGACTGGTCTTGAACTCCTGAGCTCAAGCAATCTACCCATCTTGGGCTCCCAAAGTGCTAGAATTACAGGCATGCACCACTGTGCCCAACCTAAAAATCTTTTTTTTTAAAGGGAATTTCAACTCCATGTCTTGACTTTAGCCTATCTTGAAAATAGTCACTATTGCTTAAATTTTTCAGAAACCCAGACTTTGAAAAGCCTATTTTAAAAAATTATTTCACCAGCCTGGGAAACATAGCAAGACCTCATTACTAAAAATTTTAAAAATGAGCCTGGTGTGGAGGCTGATACCTCTAGTTCCATCTACTAGGAGACTGGGAAAATCACTTGAGGCCAGGAGTTCCAGATCAGCCTGGGTGATGTGGGGAGACCTATTCCCTTTGCCTTTAAAAACAACAGCTTATTTCAGAGTTTTTAAAAAGTAACGGCTTGGCACCTGTGGCTCAAGTGGCTAAGGCACCAGCCATGAATGCCCAAGGTGGCGGATTCAAATCCAGCCCGTGCCCACCAAACAACAATGACAGCCGCAACCAAAAAAATAGCTGGGTGTTGTGGAAGGGCGCCTGTGGTCCCAGCTACTCGGGAGGCTGAGGCAGGAGACTCCCTTGAGCCCAGGAGTTGGAGGTTGCTGTGAGCTGTGATGCCATGACTCTCTACCCAGGGGGACAGCTTGAGGCTCTGTCTCAAAAAAAAAGTAACACGTTCGTAATAGAAAATTAGAAAACATAAATATGCTTTCATATTTGATTTATTTTTAAGGTCAGTGAAGTTTAATACAGCAGTTATTAAAGAATAAACATTCCAAGAAGATGAAAGTAAATTTAGTGGCTGAGAGATGCATGTTTAGGAGATACTCCCCCTGCATTATTTGTGTTGTTTGGTGCAGCTTCTGTTTTATTTGCATGTACAATTTAAAATAATAAAAACATTTTTGGGGATTATTATACAATGTTACTACTGTAAGAGTTTTTTTTAATTTAAATTGAGATAATTATAATGAATTTTCTAATGAGAAGACTTTCGAAATGCTAACTGTTTCTCAGTTATTAAACTGATTTTCCCTTTCTCATTAATGTAGCTCTCAAAAGGCAGAGTTTATATAATAGTCCATTCAACTCTGTGAGTTACTCAAGTCCGTACAGTCCAAATGCCAGCAGCCCACACAGCAGTGGCTTCAACTCTCCATCCTCCACCCCAGCGCGACCTCCCACAGTGAGACAGCTCCTACTCCCTGGAAATTCAGGTAAGGTGAAAACAAAATGGAGTAATTAAGGAATGATTCTTAACTTACTGCACTATCTCAAAAAAGGACTTACTCATCAAGAACATCTTACTTATGAAACTTTTAACTGGTTAGAGAAAATATCGAGGAGCTACTCTGCACCATATATCATACCAAACACCATGGGTACAAAGACAAGCCAGTATGTTAACATGCATAAAATTTCTTTTAAAAAGTTTTCAAATCTGGCTTAAATGTAGGCACAAGCTTAATTCTTTTAGATCCTTATTGAACAGCCTGATTGGGTTCCAAAACAACCCTACAGAGTTAAAAGTAAAAGCCGTTCATAGGAATTTTAATAAGCTTTGATCTGCAGTTAAATAACCATATGAGGGTGTATTGAATGTGCCGAGAGAGTGGAGGGGCTGGGAGTGATGTGGGAGGGACAGGTGGCTGTGAGACAGGGCAGGTGTCCTGCCTGGCCATGACTGAGACTTACTCTGTAGCTCACTGTGCTGCTTCAGCATTCAGGCAGGAAGTGCCCACACTCCTGTGGTCATGACTAATTATTATAGTTGCTTTAGAAATTAAGGTATTATTACTTCCTGAACCCTGTTTCAAAAAGAAAAAGAGAAAATTAAAGTGTTATTAACCACCTCAAATTTTGACCTGTGTTCTCCCTAGTCCTGTGACTCTGTTGACTGTGCTCTTTGCTTAGTACTGCATGTATTGGTGGTTATTTGCTGTTTATTTCACCTCTGACAGGGTAACAGTACAAAGTTTAATCTGCAGTATCTGTTTAAGGAATTTGATTTACACATTATTGTAGCCTGACCTTGCAATACTTTTTCCCCTATTATATACACTACACTCTTTTCAGTCATAATACAGAGATTAATTATTTTGTATTCTTCCTGCTCTCCTTAAATGCCTTTCATGTTGGAGCAGACTCTTATGCTGAAGAATTCTGGAAAGCAGGTGTCTCAAGGAAATCTATATTAGAAATATTAGTGATAGTATTGGGATTTTATTGTTTTTCAGTACAAGCTGGTGGTCTGATGAAAGGATTTCCTTAGAAACAAGTTAGACTCTTTTGGATGTGTATATTCTTTATTCTCTGGCCTGTTTTCTGTCTCCCTTTTGGTTTAGAATGATAAATTACTCTTTTTAATCTAGTCATTTTTAAAATCCCATTTCTTGTGCTTCACTATAAACTTCAGAGAACTCTTTGGATACCCGTTGCTAATTGAGCAGAGCAATTTTGTAAACATGGCATGTTGTAGGAGAAATCAGCCTAGTGTTCTTTTTTTGGTGTATTCTAGATCTCTAAGAAATCTAATTTCCTTGAAATTAGTTTTGTTTCTCTTCAGAGAGAGATGAGGTGTTTGTTAATGACTAAATTTGGGAGGAGAAAACACTACTTCCTAAGTTCATCTGTGTATAGACCAGTTTAACTGGCTGTCTTATACGAATTGAAATCCTCTGACGTGTACTTATTGAACACCAACTGGTTGGCAGGTACTGTGTTGAAAAGCTTCATTGTCGCCTAAGATAATAGGGAAGTTATACTTGGATGAAATATTTTGTCTTTATGCCACAGTACATCAATAGTTCTATGAGTCTATAGTTCTCATTTTTCTTAATGAGATCAATTTCTAATTTCAGGGAGTTTTTTGTATTGTTTTGTTTTTTGAGACAGAGTGTCACTCGCCCTGGGGTTGAGTACCATGATGTCCTAGCTCACAACAACCTCAAACTCTTTTTCTTTTTTTTTTGAGACAGAGTCTCAAGCTGTCACCCTGGGTAGAGTGCTGTGGTGTCACAGCTCACAGCAGCCTCAAACTCTTGGGCTTAAACAATTTTCTTGCCTCAGCCTCCCAGGTAGCTGGGACTACAGGCACCCATCACAACGTCCAGCTATTTTTTTTGTTGTTGTAGTTGTCATTGTTGTTTTTAGCAGGCCTGGGCTGGATTTGAACCCCCCAACCCTGGTGTACATGGCCAGTACCCTAACTACCGAGCTATGGGCACCAAGCCAACCTCAAACTCTTGGACTTGGATCATCTTACCTCAGTCTCCCAAGTAGCTGGTACCTGCCACACACCTGGCTAATTAATTTCAGGGAGTTTTATAAACAGAAAAGGCAGAATAGTAATGAATTGAATCAGAGAATATAATATTAAGTTAATCACAACAGGCATTTATTCGACATTTGTCTTACCAAAGTCTGAATTTTTTTTTTAAGGTAACTTGAAAAGCTCATCAGACAGAAATCCTCCTCTCAGTCCTCAGTCCTCTATAGATAGTGAATTAAGTGCTTCAGAATTAGATGAAGATTCAATTGGATCCAATTATAAGCTAAATGATGTAACTGATGTGCAGATTCTAGCCCGGATGCAGGAAGAAAGTAAGTATTTTAATTGTTAAAAGTTGAGGTTTTTAACTACTGCATAATTTTGCTGTGGGTATTAAATATGCCTTGAGGTGTTGTGGGATTAGTAGTATACGTACAGTAGGAATACTGCAAGGGACGTCTCAGAGGCTCCGTCAGCACATGCACCTGTTTGTCAGTGACTTGTTTCCAGAGTCCATTTCACACAGAGCATCTTCTCGGTGTGAGGGCAAAGAAAGGCAGTTGTGCTCTTCTTGTGTCCTGCGTGTTGCCCGCACTGTACTCAAGGAATTATCACTCCATTATTCTTGTGCTTTTCTGTAAACTGGTGTTTCTCACATTTTTTTAGTTGCTCCTCTCAGGAGCCTTTTTAGAAATATTTTTTCTTTTCACTTTCCTGTTTCACATGAACTTTCAATACGACAGATAATATTTGATGCAATAAAGTACAGGCACTTTATAAGGGCCCCGAACTATTATGATAGCTAAGGTTTTTTTCACACCTCAAGAACCAGTTTTTGCCCTCATGGTGGCAAGTATCACCTCACTAGAGAATAAGAGATATAAACTATTAGAAAGACCTTGGTGAGAAAATTGGAATTCTGACGTGACATTAAATGAAACATGTGATGCTTTGCAATGTAATCCTTGAAACTTTTTCAGTTACAGATACCTTTGAGAATCCAATAAAAATTACAATCTCTGTCATCGCTAAAATGTTGATATGCAAGAATTTTTCGTACCTTTTCACGGGTTCATGGCTGCCCACCCGGGCTCCTGTCTGAAGGTGGTAGTATTCTTACCTGTGTATTTTATTAGGAGATACTGTCTGCTTAACTGTGAAGTAAGAAATCACTCTCAAGTGATCCCTTTAACCTCTACAATGAAAAAAGTCTATGAAACACACATACATTTCAGAATGTTGACAATTGGCTGAGGGTAATGGAACATTGTTGTAATTAGTTCAAAAACTTTCTGTTGACTGTATATAAAATAGGTCCTTTCTTTAAATATGCAATAAGTTTTATCAAGCTATAACATTTATTAAGAACCTGCATAGGGGCTCGGCGCCT